CAGGCTCCTCTGAAGGCTTCAGAGTGAAAGCACAGCTTGCACTTCGAGCCAGGCAACTCATGTTTGGACTGTCCTGCAAGGACAAAAAGTCTACAGAAACAAATGAGAGTACCTCAGAGTAATCTGAGGATGTTTCATTTAAGCACAACAGTCAACAAAAGAGCAAGAAAATGTTGGAAGGGAACAGGCAAAGGAGAGTGTTTCTTTTCCACTCTTTGCTGGGACCAGAGAAGCCAGTAGTGAGGAGCTTGGTCCAGGCCCTGGTCAGCAGCTTAGTGACCTCTGGAGTTGTGCACAAAGTCACAGACAATGCAGCTTGCGAGACACAATTATCAGAGCAGATGCATCAAGCGTCACAAGGCAACAATAGCAGGCTGGGGTTTTTTCCTCTCCAACAGCTCACCTTGCATGAGGTAAAGCATGACAATATTTATCAGCTCTTTTAGCATCTATGAGGCTGTGGAAGCAGCTTAAGCAGGTTGAAAAGAAAAAGGAACCTCATCTCTGAACACTGTGACACCAAAAGATGCATCATTTGCCTCTTGCATTCAAGTTTGTGATTTTGGTTTGTTTTGGGTTTTTTTCTGTATTTTCTTCCTCCCTTTAGTTCCATCTTTTCTCTTTTTACTACAGACTGTCTTAAGGTTAAACATGATGGAGGTTTCATGTAAGTAAGATTTCCCTACCTTTAATAAAAAAATAACCTCACAAAAAATTTAAGAGCTTTGAAAAGTAAAAGATTTTCTGTAAACCAAGGCCGAACACTGCCAGCAATATCCAAAGAAGCCTGTAAGGAAGCTATCATTCCAATCAAAGTTGTCACTGCTTGGTAACAACACACATCAGAAGAGAACGAGGGAGTCAAACAGGGAATAAATGACCACATCCAGACAATGTGCTTCACAGAAAGTGGTGAGGCCTTGGACCAGGCTGCCCAGAGAGGTGGTGGATGCTCAAAAAAGGGTTGACATGGTGTTTCATAATATGGTTTAGTTTTTAGGGGTTGTAGGGGGGATGGTGAGACATGATGATCTTGAAGGTCTTTTCCAACTTCGACAACTCTATGATTCTATTTTTTACTGTTCCTTTGTTTTTCTCATCTCCTTTTTTTCAACTAAGTAGAAAACTCTCCAAACCTGCCCCAAGCACTGACATATTTTTAAAATAATTCTCAACCAAAGCTAAAAACTTCATATTGTCTGTGAAGAGTAAGGCATACATTTTAGAGACCATTCCTGAGGGCGAAGGCAAATATCTAACATGACCATGAATTGTAATTTACCCCTGGCCTTCCAGGCCAGTCTTCCTTACTAAGAAAAAAGTAGTATTTATATAAATTTGTTAAGATGTGTCCTGATCACAAGAAATCAACAAGATTTCTGCTAAATTCTTTAAATTTACAGCATAAGATTAAATGCTGAAACTACAAATATATATAAACTTACAACTAGAAAATATGTTTAAAAATGTCTCTATCAACTCCTTTGGGCTTCAATGAATTCGCTAACAGACCATGGACAGAGTCAGAGCACATAGCTGCTGAGGTCTGAAGCCAGCAGTAAAAATGCTGACATGAGTGAGGGGAAAAAAGAATTCTAAGAAGGAAATCCACCTCATACATCATATTGTAACAACATTTACCTGACTGAGAAGGAGGAAATTGAGTTAAGGATGAAGTTCTCTCACGCTTTACAGGTGGACAGTAGCTCCCATCCTCTCGATCAGATTCTGCAGAACAAAAGCATTAGAGAAAATACACAAAGTCCTGGAGAGATATATATTTGTGGCTTTTAATCTTACAATCAAATCTCTTACCATCTCCATCTTCTGGACTTGATCCATCTGCTGATCTCTGAAATCAGATTACAACAATAAAACAAAAATCACACACTGAGCGTTTCACTCTCTTCAGATACATCAAAATGTTTTAATCGTCAGTTTGAAAACTTCTTCTGTTCTGTCAACAATATACACTCAAGACAAAGCATTATTTTTATGACTTTCGTGTAGGCATATTCAGTTTCACCCAGATACTATTAAATAAATTCAAAATATTTTCTTTACAAGGAAGATACCTGCACGTTCATCTCCAAGCACTAACATCTTTAGAGACCACACAACAATCATTACAGTTATTTTCTATATATTGAAAAACAGAAAATGACAAGCTTCAAATTTGGTTTGATTTTTAAAATACCATAGAAGTTCCAATCTCCTGAACATACCCCGTTATTTACAAGTTCATTCCAAAGCACTTTTTCTAATTAATGTAACTGACACTAGCTCCTTCAACAAGAGGAACTGGAGGAATGTCTTCCCAAGCACACTCTACAACCCAGCACTCTGACACTGACAGGAATCAGCTGTGTCTTCCACAGCACCAAGAACAAAACAAGAAGCATAACATGCTACTATCACAATATTAAAGAAGGCTTTGAACAAAGGCTCTACATCTTTCCTGACGATTTGTAGGTCTCTCTCTTCCTCCTTGCTCTGCCAGTTCCTCAACCAATAAAATTCCCTTGTTCCTGCAAGGCCTAATTCCACAATGGATCCCTTTCACTATGGAAGGTGACCAGGGCAGCATTAGCACCTTCATGTCATTACAAAACCTCCTGACATACTGGACCTTCTCCTTAGTCCAACACTACCCTTCCACCCTACTGCTGCTCAGGACATGTGAATATCAGGAAGAACTTCTTTACTGTGAGAGTGACAGAGCCCTGGGACAGGCTGCCCAGAGAGGCTGTGGAGTCTCCTTCACTGGAGACATTCAAAACCCGCCTGGACACGTTCCTGTGTGATGTGTTCTGGGGGATCCTGCTCTGGCAGGGGGCTTGGTCTGGATGATCTTTCGAGGTCCCTTCCAACCGCTAGGATTCTGCGATTCTGTGACACAGACACCTCCTCTTCACAGGGTCTCACTGTAGAGCTTGGCTGGCTGGGGAGGAGCAGCAGCTGAGGGACAGAGCCAGCCCTGTCCTGTCCCATGACAGCAGCCACAATTGGGCACAGAGACACACCAGGGCTGGGCCACACAAGAACAGGCTGAGACTGCACAGGACATCATCTGAAAGACACATCCTGAGTCTAAGAGTACCAGAAAGTACAAAACCTTCTATTTAGCACTGCATATATATTTAGAACCTGGTATCTGTATTTCATGCAATGCTAATAAAAACCCACTTACACTGAGTTTTTTTCAAGGCAATTAAGTTTAAGGGGTTTTCTATTTTGCTTTACATTAACAGAAAAGAACAGCTCTCTCACTAGCATCCTAGTGAAGTACTTCTGAAACCTTTAGCACAGAGAATGAAAAGCTATTCAGAGTTCTGAGACCCCCCCCATGGTTCTATCAGCCCAATCACATTAATACTCTATGTGATGACCCATGCTCTTACTACAGAATTGGTCAATGAATCCACACTACTGGAAGATGGTCTTATTAGGCATCTCCCTTGGTGACATGTCCCAGTTTCCCAAAAGATAAGGTTAAGATGGAAAACCATGATGTCATCTGTTTGAGAAACCAGCATCTGAAGTCAGAAAAAATTGTTGTACACAGTAAGTGTTGTCACATAAACCAGGCATATTTTTAAATTATAGCAGAAATCCTGAAAGCAGAAGAAAACCATTTTGTAAAAAATAATTATAAATGCAATTGCAGATTTCCATGTGCAAAAATTCTCAAATGTCAAAATGTGGTTTCCCCTTGACCTCCAAAAACTTAAGCTGTTATTGAAGCTGTAAGATACTGAGGGCAAAGCAGACCCAAGTATAGCTCTCTATTTCCATGCTTCCTAGTCCAAGAGTTTTAGGAGATGAAAGCTATGCAAGAGTCCACACACCAAGTTACAGCAGTTACTGACATTGCCAATCCCAGTCAAAGCAGGTGCTGCACAGAATTAAAAGGACTTCCCTTTCTCTCAAATGTCTTTTTTTTCCTACATAGGTACCTAAAAATCTAGATAATTTGGTTTGCTACCTCCCATCCTTACCCATTCATACACTGCTCAGACTGTCAATTATTGCTTGGGGAAGTTGGGACAGACCTTGCAAATAACCTGTCTTTAGTGGCAGGCTGGATGGGGCTCTAAGCAGCCTGATCTAGTGGGAGGTGTCCTGCCCATGCAGGGCAGTTGGAACTCTATGATCTTTAAGGTCCCTTCCAACTCAAACAATTCTATGATTCTAACTCCCACCTGAAAAATTCAACAACAGTTTCAAAATTTTCATAGACTCAGGAATTTAAAGGCCAGGAAACAAAAAAGTCAATCTCTTGGGTTGATCCTCAAGCACAGAAAGGCCCTTCTTTATGTTTCTCAGTAATTAAAACTGAGCAGTTAAGATACCCAGGCTTGATTTTCTGTTTTCAAATGACTGAGAATATGCACAAGTTACCCCATCAATTTTAGTACACTCAGCATTCAGTAAAAGACACACACCACTGTTTCCTTGCTTTTATTTAAAAACTTGCTATTGATATTCACTGCCCATTACTTGGGAATTCACCTCTCAGGTCTCCTCAAACCTGGGATAAACTTCATGTAGGAAACTTTTTGCACTATAATAATGTTTCCACCCATGACTCACTCTTACAGAACTTGAACAAGATTCCTAAATCCTCCACAGTTATGAAAAAAGCTTTCAAGAAAATAAAGTTGTATATTCACATGATCTAATGAAGTCTGATTTCCCACAGATCCTATCTAGATGACAAACAATGTGGAATTACCTACAATGAGAAGGCAAATGCTTGAAGCAGCCAGATGTTTTCTCTCCTCTTTAGTCTGCCTCTTCCCACAGACTGTAGAGGAATCCAGAGCTGAGATCTCCACACCCCCCAGTGCCCCTGGCACAACCTGACAGAGTCAAAGGTAGATGGCAGGGGATGAGAACACAGATAACCTGTATTAGCATAAGCTTCATCTTCTTATGAAGCCCCACTCTAAAGTAACTGCTGCAGACAGAAGTTGCTTATGTGAGTGAAGCTGGGAAGACTAGACAAAACCAAGGAGAATACCTGCATGAAAACAGTTTACTTGACAGGCTGGAAAAAACATCAGATTACAACTGGATGACATGTTTTACATAAGCATACAACACAACCAAAATGAAAGCCAGGACCATCTCACCCTATAAGGAAGCACTAGGGTGACCCAACTTCTCTCCGTTCAGTTCTTTGACATTAGAACCTGAAGAGACACTTAAACCAGTAACATTAAAATCTAGCCTTCAATTTACTCCTCACTTAAGAAGAGAAGCCACCTTTCACTTACTCCCTCCTCCCCCTACTTTTAGAAATCCAGGTAAAGAAGTTACAGTTATTGCTAAATAGAAGCTCCTACAATTCTGACAAGTTTCTGATTAGCCAAATTACTTAAGACCTCCCAACTTTTTAAAAGTACAAATGAAAGCAATTAACAATCCCCTACTGAAGTACAAACATTGCTTCTTTACACCCATTACTTCCTCACACAGTTGCTAGAATAAACTGAGAACTTAGACAAACTTCCACAAATTTGTCAGTTTTTGTTTATTCACAAAAAAGATAAAGAAACAGGGATGGCCAGGGAAAATTCAGGTCAAGCAAAAAAGTCCATGTTTAATTAGGTGAAATCTGTAAGAGTACACTTCCAGTGTTCATCTATGAAAAATATATTTAAGATGCAAAAAGTCATATGCAAAAAGTCATACACAAAAAAGGAACTTCAGAGAATAGCACAGCAAGTCTGCAATCCTGACACTCTGCACATCCACAAGCATTACTGAACTGCCATGGCTGTTGCTTAAAAGCTGTTCCAGAACCTCTTCAACAATGCAGTCCTGCTGGCCCTGGATACCTGCTGCTGTAGGCTGGCTTTGGCTGAGCTCAAAGTCAAGACATCTTCACTTACTCTGCAAGAGGCTCCACCTCTGGCCACAATGTGGTCATATCTCAAAGACACCTCCCTGTGCATGTACAAACACCACTGAGGAATCAAGAAACACAGTTTCTCTTCTTCAGAACCAGTCTTAATCCATCATTGTCCCAAGGTCCTGGGAGGATTACATTTTTCTCCAGCAAACCAGTATGAGAAATCTGAAGAGGCATCGACCTTCACTGTACTTCAAGGTAAGAAAGAGCTTCACTCTACAAAATCAGGACACTTGGAAGACTGTTTGCCAGGGCAATGTGACTAGACTGAGCACTGTCCCGTTCCATAAAGTGAATGGAGTAAAGCTCAAAGATGCATCTATCGTGCGCAGCCTGCATATATTCCCCAACAGCATTTCTGGTCCTTTCATTTATTTTCAGACATGGGTCAACTGAGGTACAATTTTCAGCTCTTCAAGAACAAGTCTAAGATAATGGCCACTTGCTGCAGTTTTCCTGAACATCTGGTTAACACAGTTCTCTTGGCCAGTTCTAGTAACACTGGCAACTTCAAGTTACAGAAAACTGACATTGAAGAGTATGGCTCCATTTACCAGATATATTTTAAAATATTAATCCTTGAAAACTTTAATATTCAAAAAACAAATTGAAATGGAAAAATTTGTGCAGCAGGTCAGTAAACAACAGTCTGGACTAAGATGCTTAGCCTACAGCTGTTTGTACCTTGCGATGACCATCCATCCAGCACTGGGTTTACTTGGAACAGCCCATTGTTGAAAAAAAAAAAAAAACTAGTGCAAGAAAGGGTGCAGGTGTTGTGTGGAGCAGCCTAAACAGGCAAGGACCTACCAAAGAGTACATGTGTGTGTGGTCACAATGAGCAGCGACATTCACCTGCACCAAGGAAACATTGTCCATCAAGCAGAAAGATTAGGAACACTTTAAAAATTGCTCTGAGAGACTGTATGGTGGTCATCATTTAATCACCCAGACTTTGAAAAAATACTTTGCTGTACCACCAGTATAAAGATCTTAAATTAACAGCACTGACAGCTTTTCCTACCTCAACGTAATGGTTGTTTGGGTTTGCTCCCCTTGCAAAGTACTTAAAAATTCTGCTTTAGCACCCTTCTTGCTGCTTTTCATCTGCTAAGTACATTACATGTTGGCATGACAAGGTCCTGTTTGTATCCAGTGGAAACACAGAATTAGCTGCCCACTCTGTCAAGCTGCAGCATTATGGCTCAGAGGGAATAAACAAGCTAACTGTTTAAAGGAAATCCCTCATGTGTACCCACTTCTCACTCATTTAGAGGAGCTTTATCCTTAGCAAACACAGTTTACACCCTACATTTTAAAACTGATCCTTGACATGTTTTCTATAATTACACCCACTAGGGAGTCCCAAACAAATTTCATTTCTACTAATTGGAAGCTTACAGGGGACTAACACCAGAGATCAAAGACCCAGACAGCTAGTGAGCTGCTCTACCTGAAATTAACAGATTCCTTCTAGAGGAAGGAACATTTTTCTTTAATCTCTGAGCAGCAGAAGTACTTGGTAGGTTCACACTTACCCCTGCCAGTTCTTGTTGAATAGGAGCAAGCTGGGCTTCAGAAGCGAGACTCAGGGAAGCACTGACTGAGGCAAGAACCGGAGCAGGATGCTCAGAGTCGTGCTCACCAGCTGATCCTCTGTGACCCAGACCATGGTGGGGGGGCTCAACCTCTCCCTGTGGGTCCTCGCCTGAATCCGACAAACCTTTTTGCTCTGCAGGGGACTGGGAGCAGAAAAGACAACGTCCCTTCAATGCAAGGCTGCAACATGAGAGAGCAGTCGTTCTAGTGAGAAGACCTGCTAATGCCTTTTAAAACTCCACTGTTTTCACCTTAGGGCAGGAGGAATTGCTTGTAGCTTGGACACCAACAAAAACTTTCACAAAGCAGGGAACAGACTCTGCTTTCTTTTTTGTAAATTAAAAACTTTGAATGTCTATTTCAAGGAAGGGGTGCCAGGATAGCTAGTGCACACTCATGGAATTTGATATTTGCTGAACTTCTGCCACAGACTCTTTACATTTCTTCAGATCAATTAATGCTGCAAGTCCCCACTTTACCATATTCTGTACATGTCTGCAGAATGAAAAAGTTAAAGGCTTCGAGTCTCAACAACTGTATTCTGGTAAGGAACTAAATTATAGTCCTTTGGATAATATGCAGGCCAAGGATGTCCTCCCATCTATAATCTGTTGGCTGAACCTCCTGGTGTCTTATTGTGAAGTATCTAGACAATCAAGCAGCTAGGTGAAGATGCCACTCAGAAGAGCTTAAGCTTGGCTTGCTCTCAGAAAACATTCAGTAGAATGCAGAGAGATTACAAATGGTCCCCATTGCCCAGTCTGTGCAATGCAGTGAATAAACATTAAAAACAAATAGCAGCTTTTAAATATTAAGGTCCCAAAGTTCTTCAGCCATGACTTTTGGCCTGTGCTCAAACCCAAGAAAGTATTAAAAGACAGCAACACATGCAATTTTATCAGCAGATTCAGTTCAAAGAAGTTACTCAAGTTTTAAATGTTGCAAGTATCTACCATTAAGGCTCAAAATAGTCAAAATATATTTAGTGGGGCTATGTCAGGAAACCCGGGGACACTCAGTTTTCTTATTTTAATATAAAGCTGTCACTAACAGATCCAAACACTAACTTAAAACCCCATAGAACAGAAGAGGCATTAAAGAAACATTTTATCACCAAAAAGTAAACCAAGTCTAGCAATGCTATTCTTACCTCTTTGGCTCAGGAACTGCGACTGGCCAGAGCAGTTCATACAAAAGACATTGTATTCATACAGAAAGACAAGGGGTCACCACCTCCACTCCAGGTTTTACACCCATTACTCCTAGTCTCTCTTTTCTGCTAAGCCTCACTTTCAAAGTTAACAGCATTCCAAACATCACTCAAAACTGTTTTTTTTTCCCTTCAAGGGGAAACAGCCATAAAAAAGTACAAGTCACAAGTTACCTGCATCGCACTAACTACAAAGGCAAATAAGCGAGTGAGCAACATCACTGAAGATCAAACTCTTCTCATGGCTTATACCACAAGTGTCCTCTGGTTCTCCACTACCCCAAATCCTCCCTAAGTACCTCACCACACAAACCTCTCTCCCCACACCTCTTCCATCTGCTAAACCTCCTCCAGCCACACATGGGGCCAGAGGAAGGGAGCAGGGCTGTGCCTGTGACAGCTGCTTTCCCTCTGCCAGGGAGGGCATCTTGGCACCCAGGCAGGTTTCTAGTTTTCAGGAAACATGCAGAACAGTTTTAATATCTCAATCTCTATCACCTTATCAACAGTTGTCAGAATCTGCAAGCTCTCAGCAGGCTGATCAGAAGACAGCCAGCAACATAACCAACTGTGCTTGCCTTCCCAGCTGAAAGGCTTCCTACTTCTCCAGTGGTCTGGGGACCTACAGCAGAAACAAACCTCAGCCCCAGTCCAGCTCCTGCACCAGTGATGGAGACTACCCTGCCACTGCTCACACAGCCTTTGAAGACAGAGAACTCTAAAAACCACACTGGGGGAAATGCTGAAAGCTACAACCAGAACAGTACTAGGAATGGGGATGGGCAAGACTGTCCTTGCCAACAGCCAGAACACACCTCAGATGAGGTGACCATCCCCAGGGAGCTGGAGACAACAGGAAACAATTAGGAAACCGAGATAGACTGTGGGGCTGAAGATAACTAAGAAGATTTAGTGCGCATAAGAAGCAAAATAATGCATAGGAAGAGGATACAGAACTATTTCCACATAAAGACAGCTAGGTATCTTCTTATTCCTCAGCCATAACACACAAAATTTGGAGGGAAAAGGCATAGGAACATAAGGATGAAATGAGTGGCATCTAGGATGGCAATGCAGGGACTCCCACAGAGGAAGAGCTGGAAGGCATCCAATTAAACTAGGCTATAATGAGTTCAAAAAAAACATGAAACCAAAGGAGACAAAAGGCTCACCTTGCTGAACCTCTTGCCAGAGGTTCATGCAGATGGTAGCTGCTCACATGCTTGGCTTCAGCAAGAAATGGGAGAAATTCAAAGAGGGAAAAAAAAAAAAAAAGGAGCCTTACCAGCAACTTGCCTTGACTTCTAACACAGATCATAAAACTGCTAACAATTCAATTGCTAGAGGCAAGAACATTCAATACACACTCATGCTATAGGCTCCAAAGTGGAAACAACAAATTATTCTGCAAATAATTCATATCAATACAGTTTAGAATATTTCAATGGAGGCTAAGTAAACATGGATCAGATTTTAGTAACTCTTGTACCATGTGGCAAGTATTTTAAAAGGTGAAACATGCAAGGTAACCTTCTGGCATAGATCTCACTTATATCCTAAATAAAACTGGAATTATATTCCAAGACTTTGAAAAGAAACAAACAAAAATAATTATTGCAAATCACCACTTTTATGCTGAAAAATCTGATGCCAAGATGAGCATTTCTTGGCCAAGTCAACACAAATTTATATTATTTTAAAAACAGATATTAAATTGATAAAAAACTACTACTAGCTTCAGAATTTTGTGAACTATATGGTTTACGTCATGGAAGACAAAACCAATAAAGGCCTCAAGGATCTGCCAAACCAAACTGCTCCAAACAGAAGTTTGTACAGGCTGTTATTAAAAACTCATATCCAAGGGAAACCCTTAAGCTTCTAAAATTCATTTTAGTCTTCAGTCATCCTTACTACTGAAAGTGTTTTCTAATCTCTCAACTTTATAAATTCCAATACAAGTTCTTGTTCAAAGTTCTTTGCAGCTGGTGAAGAACAGTCCATTCTCTGCCTTTTTTGCTGTAATGTTTTATGTCTGTGATGATTTCTGTCTCTCCTTGAGCCTCTTCTTCTCTTGAGGAAACATTTCTTGTAAGTACAGCTCTATGGAGAACTTGGCAGGAATCTGCTCCTGTCTCTTAAATACTATGGCAAAGATCAGTGGAGGGATTAACGCTGAGATCAATGGATGGATTAACACTGTTTGGAAGCCACCTACACAAACTCACCTTGCTCAGCCAGATCAAAGACAGATGTTCTTAAAATGCAAAAATAACACACCTAGAGTAAACACAAAAATCTGCCTTGAGATTTGGCTTCCTCTGCATTGCAGTAAATAAGGAGATACACAAAGAAATACATAAAAACTGAGATTAATACGATGCTAAGAACACCAAATATAGGTAAGGAAATAATAGTCCATTTTGTAAAGATAGGCACAAACACTCTTGGGTCAGTTTTTCCTCACAATTCTAAGTTGTGGTATATGTCTCCTTTCCACATTCTCCCCAACTAGCACCCATGTCTAATGGCCCACAAAGACTACTAGCTCTTCCCTAGTCCATTGATGTAGTCACTCCAAAATATAAGGCCACTAGGTTGGCAAGGCAAAACTTGCCCTTGGTGAAATCACCACGTTGGTGTCTCAAATCACTTCCCTGTCCTTCATGTCCCTAGCACAGCTTCTAGGAGGATCTGTTCCATGATCTCTAGCACAGAGATGAGGCTGACAGGTCAGCAGTTCCCAGGCTCCTCCTTTTTAAAGATTTTCTCATCATCCACCTCCTCAAACTACCAGAAAACAGGCATTTCCAGATCATACTTTGTCAAACCAGGACTTCAACCAACTCCTACTTTATGTATTGTCTAATATAACTGTCTCCTTTCTAAACTCATGACCTTGTTTTCCAGGCTACATGGGAATTTCATCCTTCTAATCACTTAAATAATTTTCACAACTCCAGATGTATTTTTAAAGGTCCACAGTTAAAACCATTATAACAGAACTTACAGCTTAAGGACATAAAGGACAAGTACCCCTTGACCTTTAAGACCCAGGTGCCAGTGAGCCCTTAAACTCTTTGCATTATTGTGCAGAACCACTTAGGTACAGGATATGACCCAAATATCACATAACTTGTTTTCCTCCAGAGCCACCCTTAAAAGCTCACCATGAACAAGTCACCTACAGGAAGCAGAACACTGATCAAGACTAGTTATAGAACAAGCTAGATATGAAGTCTTCTCTGCATCCTACCATTTCCCCCAACACAGGCTGGTGGAAGGAAGAAGACAAGGTATAAGCTACAGAACAGACAATGGATTGATTTAAAGTGCAAAAGTATTTTTTAAATCCAAGTTGAGTACCTTTTGTAATTCCCATGACTAGGAAGTCAGGATGAGCTCAGCATTGTCAGAATCTATGAGTGGAAGGTGACATTTTTGGACAACTTGCTTATTTACAACACTACTGGTTACATTTGTTTCATAACTACTTAAAAATGTGTCAATGCAAGAAAGACTTCAGAATACTTTGCTCTCAGAAATGCGTGTTAAAAGTTAATGTCATAAAATGACAACAATTTATCATAGAAAATGTTGTATCTACCAAAAACTTTAATTAAAAAATACTATGAAAAGTACTGTATAATTAATGTATAATGTATTGGGATAGATAATGGAGTAACTAATATTCTATGCTTAACACAGCAAGGTTAGGATTTTATGTTGCTTTCAGATCTTAGCAACTACAAGTCTTCCTCATCTGATGAAATTTTCTAACTCATGTCAGAACCAGAAGCTCTGCTTGTCAGAAAAATTAATAGCAGTGTATAAACGAGGAAGATATTTGGATGCTAATATTCAGATATTTGCAAGAACTATATTTCACCCATTGTAAAAATAGAAAATAGTTTGCAAAGAGTTAAGGAGATAGGAAAATGAAAATGGAGATTCACTCGACAAATGTGGTAAGAGCCAACATTACACCCACCATTAATTTCTACAATAGAAATCAGAACACATTGACTAGGCCTGCCTTTTTAGCTGCAAAATAAAACAACCAGAATCTCCTTATTGAAAATAAAATTAAGAGGCATCATTGTGAACACCATGCATTTTTTGTCCCCTCTAAATAAAGACTACAAAGTGCAGGTTCTGATGTTTTACTAATCAGTCTACAACCTTAGCTGGAACAACCAGCTAAAATAGCTTCCAGCCTATTTATGCTGCAATGCTTTCTGACTTCTAATGTACAAATATAAGTCTGAAACCTTACAAGCACAAACTTAAGTACAGATTTATTGGGAAAAAAAAAAAGATCTTTAACTTCACAGTAGACAACACTAGCTCCAGAAAGGCCAGTTAAGACCACTGAACAATATCAACCCAGCCCTAGCACTGAGGGCCTGTAGACACTGCAACAAAAGAATTCCGCTCAGGATGTCCTGTTTGACGCAGAAGAGCTTTAGGCAAACATCTAAACAGTCATCGTGGACAGCTAATTGAATACACAACACAATGCCTTCTCCTCACTCTCAGTCTGTGGTCAGATGGTTGTGTTGGCACTGAAAAGCTGCCATCAACACTGCTTACAGCTCCAGAAGCAAGTCAGCTTGACTAGATAGATATTTTGCTAAATTAAAATTGTAATTTACATAGAATGATAGAATCTGCTGAGTTGGAAGGGACCCATTAGGATCACGAGATGCAACTTTCTGCCATTTCTCCCAGTCCTGTCACTGCTCACAGGAGTGAAGAGATCAGGACCTGCCCCATCTCTTCCCCTCCTGAGGAACCACAGACTGCAATGAGGTCACCCCTCAGCCTCCTCTTCTCCAGGCTGAACAATCCCAGTGAGCTCAGCTGCTCCTCATAAGTCAACCCATCCAGACTCTTTCACATTCTCATGGCTCTCCTCTGGACACTCTCCAATAGCTTGATGTCCTTTTTATGGTGTGGTGCCCAAACCTGCAGGCAGTGCTCCAGGTGAGGCTGCACCAGAGCAAAGCAGAGCTGGACAATCACCTCCCTGGAACGGCTGGCAACGCTCTGCTTGATATAGAAATTACATATTTTAGAATTGTGTTGTTTGGCAACTGTTTTGAAGTTACTTTTGTATTTTTTTCAAAATAGTGCTCTAGAAACAACTCATCTGCTAATATTTTTTTAAAAAACTCTAATAAGGATAATCTTTTGTGGCAGACAATACCCTAACCCAGACGGTTTGTGTGGATACAGTAACAGAGTTAACTGTTAACTGGAACACTCAGCTGGTAGTCTTTCCATAAATACAGTCAGAAGTCTCAACTAGTGTGTAACCCAAGTTACCTTTTCTTTATTAAGTTGATTAAGGGGACACTCAGCTGGACTGACTGCCAAATTCTGATATATCCAGCATGAATTAAGTGGCTGTTACTTTTGGCTAACACAATATTCTGACTATTACTATTGTATTAACACTACAAAATCCAGCTACTGGCACAAGCAACAAGCAGGCTTTCGCCCTTCATTTAATAAAACAGTAAGAAGCACAGCACTGATGCTTATCTCACTCCAATCTCAAATCCACACAGTATAAGCTACTAAAATCACTACTAACCATGCTCCTCCCCCTTGTTAAGAAAATTGTACCTCAATGACAGATGCCACTGGTAGACTCTTCATGGTCTGCCACAAGGGACAAGCCCTGTTGCCCAGCTAAGCCAGACCAACTTCACACTCAGGCTGGCCATGGAGAGCCCCCTTGAGCACCACCACCACTCAGGATTTAGATCAATTCCTAACTCATTTCTAACCCCTGGGCCTTCCAGACACTTGACTAACACTCAGGCCTGTCACACACAGTCCCTGTGACCCACCTCACAGAGCCCTCAGCATCCTCAGAGGCATCTGGGAAGACTCAAGCACAGATCTCTCTACCTGGAACCCTAGGTCCTCTCTGCAAGCCCAAAGAGACAATAAGCCTTTAGTTAAGATTTTTTACAAATATTTTCTTGAGACACACTAGAGTGCAACAGATCTGTCCCACAGCCCAACACAGGAGCTTGCACAGCTGAATGTTGAAGGCAGGCACAAGGGGCAGGCCCCTTGGACAAGATGGGCACTTTGTGCTGAAGCAGAAACTACAACAGGAAAAAGCCTGAAAGCACAAGACCTGCCATCTTAGCACTGAAGGACCAGAGTAGCAAACAAAGGACACAGGACCACAGTGCTCTGCCTGGGTTGCACACTGGTATCATCACTGCTTCCAGACTGACTGTGGTAGCATTATCAGGTTGCAGGACCCCTGGGGGGAAAACTCACATGGTGCAACTCAGAAGGGACCTCAGGAACAGTCTAGGCAACAGCAGGTGACTGGGAGCTGTTTCCTAGGACAAAACTACGTGATCCAAATAACACTAACACTCCTTTCATTCCAAAGTACACAAACAGTCCTTGCAAAAAATTCCATTGGAATAAATAAATCTTAAATACTTTTGAGATATTCGATTATCTAGTAACAAAGAATAGCAGATATAAATACTTTCCGAGCTGACAAAAGATTAAGATCCTCCTGAAGAATATGCCTACTAACCCTGAAAGAAAGTTAGACACTGGTACGTGTTCCAAACCAAAGAAAACCTGCAAAATGGTTGAAACAAAGGCTATCTTGATTTGTTTTTCTTCCCAAATATTTAACAGCTTTTATTATTAAAATCACACAATATATAGAGATTCTTATTATTTTCCTAGTTATATTTTTGCAATATAAGAAACTGGAAGGCTTATTGTTTGGGGAAAAAAGGGAAAACTACACCCTAGTGCTCATACATAACATTTTTCTGTGTCACTTTTGAAGTGACAAGAAATACAAACTACTGCACTCACTCACACAGCCATGGTTTTCCATTACAACTATTTCAATTTGATAGCAATTTCTGTTAAATGGAAGGTCCTGCTCCTTCCTTCAACTCTTATTTCTCTCCTGAGCTCTACTCCTGCAGCCACAGGATGAGCTGTACCAGCTTCTTCGTTCAGCACAAGTTCAGCCACGAACACCTTTACACAGTGGTGTGGAACCACCACAGACCTAAAGCCAGGGGACAGGACCACTAGAAACGGGTAGAGGGACAGGTGAGGGAAAAGAATTACCATTTCCAAAGTAATGAGACACTTCACAGCTTACTAACCAAGGATATGAGACACACGTAAATATACTGAAGTGAAAATACAGACATGAAAAGCAAAACCTACACCATGGCTTTCTTTGCTTTGTCTTAACTCTGTTATCAGAAAAAGAATTTTTATCATTTTCTCATGCAACTGCAATTGCCAGCACTCCTTTGTCACATTCTCATTTCAAATTACAGCTCTGAAGATACTTTTTCTCCCCAATTTGGTCTGTGTTCTGTCTGAAAAGCTACTCATTTTATGCCACCATTGTACATCTTCCCACCTTTAGCCCTCTAGTACCTCTTCACCCTATGTCCATTAACAACTTGAATGTTCTATTATCCATCTTCAACTTCAAAACAATACAAAGAGCTGCTCACCATGGAATGAGTCAGGGTTACAAAACAAACAAACAAATGGTATCAACATCTCCTTACCTTCTGTGCTTTATCCTTCTGAAATACAAAGACAGGTGGAGCAATGGCAGGTTTTTCTGTAAAAAGAGAAATCATTGGGGTTTTTTCCAACCACATTCATTGTTGACTAATATGAAAATGTTATGTTCTATGATATTTTTACCAACAATGAATCCCTAAACCAGTTAAATCTCAGTTACACAATTGTTTCCATTCCTTGCAATATGTAATTATAAGGACTGGATCTTCAAAAGGGAAAAAGGAATGTTTTAGGAACAACAATACAACTGGTAACCAAATGCTATGTGTCTTTTCCCTCCAGACCTCTCTACTTCAAAACAGTAGCTTTACTCTAGTCAGGGAAATCAGCAGAAGGCAGCCACTTTGCTGCACCAGTATACTTTTAAACAGACCACTTTTGCAGGTAAAAGCTTTTCCTTGCACATAGAAACATGCAAATGCAAAGAAGTTTAGCTGTGCACACCTACATACCCCTTTCTTAAAGGTCACCTAACTCTGGCACTGGGTTATACTTATATTTCATTGTCACTGAAACCTTTAGAAACATCCTAAGTCTTCAACACTTGCGGGCCTACAATTTAAACAAAATATTCCATGCATGTTTGAGACCTCATTTGGAGTATTGTGTCCAGTTCCGGTCTCCCCAGTTCCAAAGGGACAAGGATCTACTGGAGAGAGTCCAACACAGGCTACAAGGATGATGGACTGGAACACCTGCCTGAAAGGCTGAGAGACCTGGGGATGTTTAGTCTGGAGAGAAGACGGAGAGGGGACCTAATGAATGTCTCTAAATACATGAGGGCATCAAGAAGGCAGGGGCAACCTCTTGTCACTTGTGCCCTGTGACAGGACAAGGGGCAATGGATTCAAACTGGAGCCCAGGACGTTTCACCTCAACATGAGGAAGAGCTTCTTTCCTGTAAGGGTGACAGAGCCCTGGGACAGGCTGCCCAGAGAAGTTCTGGAGTCTCCTTCTTTGTAGACTTTCCAGATCTGTCTGGATGCCTTTCTGAGTGACCTGCCCTAGTATTTAGTCCTGATCTGGTAGGGGGGGGTTGAACTTGGTGATCTTCAGAGGTCCTTTCCAGCCCCCAACATTCTGTGATTCTCTGATGTTCTTAAAGAGGGACCAGTTTTTTCTGCTTCATTTAAGAGCACATCTGGTTTCTACTTGTCAAGTTCCCATTCAAATATTAGTGGGACACTTTTCTAAACAAGCAAATCAACATTTAGTCTGCAAGAACATAAATAACTTCTAGTATTTGTTTTCCATCATCCCTAACGACCACAAAACTCCCTCAATGTCCTTAACAACAAACAAACAAAAAAAAGGGGGAGAATAAAGTAGAAGCGACCTTTCCTAAGAGTTTAGCAAACTGACACATCTTGTACATCAGTTATATTTGGAAAGAAAATGCACGTGCACTCAACAACCCTCTAATATGTTTAGTGAAGCTAAAGATGAGTACAATATTTGAATCTATCTTCACAGGGAGACTGCCATGAAACAAGGGGATTCAGGGAGAGCTGAATTTTAGCTAATTTCTTTGCAATGATTCAATTTCAAAAGTGACACTGGACTTTTTTTAAAAAACTTTAGAACTTGAAAAGCTACCATAGAAAAGAAACAAAAAAACATGTAAAAAAGAAAAAAGACTCAATAAATCAGTTTTAGCATCAGTAAAGCCCCTGGGTCAGCATTTAAGGAAAAGGGGGTGAGATTGTCCATCTGGGAACTGCTGGCTACCAGATCAGGTTAGCTGAAAAAGTGAAACTTGACCTAAGAAACACAAAAAAAATCACGAAAATTATTCCAATAAACCCACGTATTTGAGAGAGTGGAAAAACCTCTTTCCACCCTTCTGTGGGTCTAACTCAGAGGGATAACACAGTAAAACTGATTTTGCAAGACCGACATAACTTGTTCAAAAAAGGTAAAATAAATAATGAAATCAAGCTCCTTTCTACAGCATTCTGCCTGCTCTCCCCACCCTGCCCCTTTTTCCCCCTCCCTTTATTTTCCAAGTTCTTCTATCCTTTGAATACTGCTGAATCTTAAAAATGCTTATTAATGAAAGCAATTCAGACAACCTATTTAAAAAATGAAAAATAATCTAACAAGGTCCTCAAAAAGGACTTAACTGTTATACCTGCCTCAAAAATACAGTTTGCTGAAACAAGCCTGGGATCTCTTTTGATTACCTTGGCCTCAGTATAAACCTCCTGTAGGAGGCTCCATTTGGGTACAGTCCAAGCTTGTAACCCTTTACTTCAAAGTGTAATTTCTTTATATATTATTATTTCTGTATTTATATATAGTATTTATATATTTCTTTTTATATTTCAAATTGTATTTCTTAATATCACATTCAATATACTTTAGTGTTTATTCCTGCCATAATTACAACTACAAGTAGCATGCATTCTACCAAATTACTTTTATACAAAGCAGTCAATAAAGTCTGTATTAGTGTTACTCCCTTTTGGATATCGGCCTGAAAGTGGTTGTGTAATGCACAAACACATGAGACTCCTGTACCAAATTCCACAGATACCAAAGAGGACCAAACAGAAAAGAACTGCTGGCTGTTACTGCTTAATAAAGGGTTGAAGTTCTGAGAGAAAAGAAAACAAAAAAAGCAGATCCAACAACAAAGTGCAGAGGAAACATGGGATGGCTGACAAAAGATTAGAATGGGGAGTCAAAGAATTTGAGGCAAAAGAACAGGACAGAATAGGAGATGGAGTCTGGTGAGGGAAAACTGAGCAGTCAGAACAGCAAAAAGCTCACAGAAAAAAAAATAAAAGTGGGTGAAAGAACCAAAGCAAATAGAGTGTAAAAAAAATAAATATTGAAAATGGTGTCCAGCTATGGCAAATGAGACTGGGAAAAAAGCTAGTAAAACAAATCATTACCAACCCTGTCAGTCAAGGTGAAAAAGATAACACACTTATGCAACATAAGAGAGTTTCTGTCCACTGAAGGAACACAGTCCCCCCAGAATCAAGATCTAAGATTCTCACTATGGCTCTTGCTGGTTGTGAGACCAACTGACATGATGGCATCTGGCAGGAACAACAAGACAGCTCATGGCTGCCAACTACACCAGTGCTGTGGCAGGAACATTCTTGACTAGGGAACACTTGGTCACTGTGCACTTCCCAAAGTCCACAACCAGACCCCAGTGCTGGAAATGTTTCCCTAATTTTAGCCCAGGAGAAGAAGGGATCAGAAGATTGCCTAGTTCTGACACCTTCCTTCAACAGTGCATATTTTTCTGGGCCTTACTGTTTTAGGAAAACATTTTTAAATACATCAATTAATGAAGGTATTAAAAGCAAAGTATTATTGCCCTTGATAATCCAATACCTCACTTGGTTAAAAACTCCAGTGCCAAATTCCCCTTTCAAATGGCTGGGTTCAGCTTCCAGATTTGATTCCTAGTTACAGTTTTTGAGTGCATTTATATACTAGATAAAGGGGTCTTTTCTATTTAATGTTTTTCCTAAAGCACTTACACAAACCATGTCTTCCTGTCAATTGAAGAACCACCGCAACCAGCTGCACTTTTACAGAACAGAAATGCAGATGTTAGGCAGTTGTGTTTTTTTCCCACATGGTGAACATGCAAACTTATTAACATGGCAGCTATTCCAAAATGAGAATTACACTGTCATTTGTACTAGCCAACATCAGAGGTGGACAGTGATGTTCTCACTTGATGAGCACACTTCCGTTCCACAAGGGGTCTGAAGGATGACAGTACAGATCTGTTTGATCCACAGAACTGTCAAGTCAAAGGGAAAATAAAGCAGGATAAAGGAAGGAAACTTCAAACTTCAGATACAATAGAACTATAGAATGGTTTGGGTTGGAAGGGACTTGGAAGATCATCTAGTTCCAACCTCCCTGCAAGGGCAGGGACACCTGCCACTAGACCAGGTTGCACAAAGCCCTGTCCAACCTGGCCTTGAACACCTCCAGGGAGGAGGCAGCCATAACCTCCCCTGGCAACCTGTTCCAGTGTCTCACCACTCTAACAGTAAAGAATTTCTTCCTAATGTCTAACCTAAATCTCCCCTCTTCCAGTTTAAAACCATTACCCCCTTCCCTATCACTACACACCCTGCTAAAAATGTCTCTCCCCAGCTTTGCTGTAGGTCCCCTTCAGATACTGGAAGGTCTCTATAAGGTCTCTTCTCCAATACATGCAAACAACATGAGATCTCCTCCACCTAAGAGATTAACAGACAAAGCACAGTCCTTCAAAGGACTGTGAAATAGGCTTATTTTTTTCTCCAGACAAGCACAGCAAAACAAGGAGTTGGAGATGCAAAATCCAGGACAATTTTCTAACCAAGCCAACCCCAGTAAAGGTCTTCTGAGAAAGCCCAGGCACATAAGAAGGAAAGCAGACCTTCAGTAATTACTGTCCTAGAGACAGTAAGTCCCCAAACTGAAGCTCTGAAGCTCATACAAACCACTTAGTTTCATCTCAGTGGTGGTAGGGCTGTCAAACCGCTCTGAAAAATTACTGAATGCACAGAACTCTTCCTTGCAGTTTGCGTAAATTTTGACATTTCAACCTGCACCAGTAATTACAAAAACACCAAGATTTGGTATTCATGGGCTACATTCCTTTAACACACAACTGCCAAATCATTAACTATCAATATATGCCCTATGTGCTGTCAGAAAAATGTATATACTATTACACCTACTCTACTTTCTCTGTGAGCCATGGAAAACAAAACACAAACTGAAAATACTCTCAGTGGCTCAGGCAGAGGCATCATCTTGAAGTCGTACATACTATTTACTGTGAGATTTTTTAAATCAGATGCACAACTATTTTTATACTTGTAACTCTACTAACTCTGATGTCAACCATATTTCCTGCAACTTGACAAACCCTGGCCTTGTTTTACCTCTCCACCAGTTCTTACCAATGCAACCATAGCAGTTGATGGCATCCCTAGAGGCCTCAATATTTATTTTTGCAATACAAAGGTTTAAATCTTCACTGCAGCATTAAATGACTCATTACTGAAAAACCCAACAGGTATTTTGAGTG